GTAGATTGCCCAACCTTCCTTCCGAGGAGTGGCTGGTGGGTTTGAACCGCCAGCCTTCTGGTTAGCAGTCAAGTGCCTTAGGCACTATGCTACAGCTTATATGTCCATCCAGCAGGGTGAGGGTGAGGGCATGGGTGTGTAAGCGGCTGGGTACAGAGTCTAAATGAATCTAGATAAGGTTGCTGGAGGTTTCAAAACTGAAATCTGGCTGGCACCTCCCATGGCCAGAACTACTGTGGCTGCTGTCTAATGCCATTCTCAATTGCCTCATCCAGTGCTTCCAACTGGTCCACTCCAGTTTGACCCCTGCTGAGAATTTGCATTTGCACCCCAGATATACTGAATCAATCTACATTTTAACAAGATTTCCAGGTGATTCTTATGTGTACTTAAGAATCCCCTGAGGACCAGGTTTGCTGGCCCAATAGAGCCTGGTGGAACCACTGAGACTGTGGCCCCTAGCTGCCCTTCAGGTCTGGAATTGAACCCATGCCTGTGGCTTCCAGCCAAACAATAGACAGGCATATGAGTTGAACATTTAACTGAGGTAGATACATTCCTTGGAGAGAACAAGCATGGAAGAAAGAAGGGCTGCTTATGCACAGGGAGACAGCTCAGGGAGCAGGAGTGCATGGAGGGATGGACACAGGGAAGAGGTAACTATCGGGCGGAAGTAGTGGGGAGATGTTGCATTGTGGTAAATTGTGGTCAGTGTCATGAGACAAAGTGTATATGAACTGTATGGAAAGTGTATTTGCTCTGTAAATTTTCACTCAAATCACAATAAAAAGAAAAAAAAAAAAAGAATCCCCCGAGGATCTTGTTAAAATGTAGATTCTAATTCTATATATCTAGGATGGAAATGCACATTCTCAGTAGGGGGTCGCAAATCAGAATGAACAGGTTCAAAGCCCTGGCCTCATCACACTTTTTGATTTCAGCTTTCTGCTGAGTCATACTCCTTGGTCTTCTCACCTGCTCCAACTTCCTGGATTAATTTGCTCTCCTCCCTCCCCCAGCCACCCTCAGTCTGTTGAGATTGATGTGATGTTGGGGGGGGGGTCTTGGTAATTGTGGAGGTGGAATCTGAGCTGACTAACATACTGAACTGCTAATGGAGAAGAGGGTGCCCCTCTGCCCTGAATCCTGATTTCCAGGTGTCTGATCCCCGGGACTCTGGTCAGCATTGGGGTTCTTGATTGTGGAGCGCCCCCTAACGCACCCCCAATGCTACCAGTGGAGAAGCTGAGGAGTGAGCTTGAGTGCTCATAGTGACTTGGTAGGGAAGAAGGAAGTGGCTATTATGATTAGAACAAACTGCAGTTCAGAGAAGTGGCTGCTGCTCACTTGCTGTGGAAGTGGGAGCAAGGTTTCTTGGCAGTTACGGGAAACTCGTCTTGGAGTGGGTAGAGTGAGGTAAGTTTTTCGGACCCCAGAGAATCATGGAAGCAGTTTTTGGTTCTCACTACCTGCTGGGCCACTCTACTCACCCTGTTTCATATCTCTTCTAAGTGAGTCAGTGGCTTTCAACTCTGGAGCACATTAAAATCACCTGGAGAAATGGAAAAAACAGCAATGCCTGGGCTCCAGTCCCAGAGATTCCCAGTCCAGTTGGTCTCCAGTGGGATTTTCTTTTTTTCCCCTCTTAAGCTCCCAGATGGTTCTAACATCAACCAAGATTGAAGAACTCACTAAGGTATATATTTCTTCCTCCCAGAGCACAGGTGTAGTTAATGTAATGGGCTCAAAAGTTGTGAGGGTGGTACAGGACCAGACAGTGTTTCATTCTGTTGTACATAGGCTTGCTATGAGTTGGAACTGACTCAATGTCACCTAACAACAACAACAGAAACAAGGGATTCCTACCCCCAATCCAGAGTCCTTTTTGTAGGTAGACCTCATGGAGAACTGGGGTCATGATTTCTTTGTTCCAAAAACTCTGAAGAAGTGACTTTTCCCCACCCTATCATCTTCCTGCATACCTTCTTGGACTCCCCTTGTGTGATTCTCAATTTCTTCAGAAGGAATTTAGAACTGTAATCAGAAGACCTGGATTTGAATCTTTGTTCTGCCAAAGGTGTTCTTGGTCCCCATCCAATTCTTACCTATAATAATCTCCTTACCAGGTGGGGTATGAGAATTGAACGAGAGAATATTATCTGGAGATTGTAAGATGATTTGCAAATGTTGCTTCCATGGAGCAATTATCTTGTCAGCATCTGTCAGGACCCAAGGTTATGCTTTCAGGGGCAAGAGAGAGATCAGTTGTGGGAAAGGGTGAGGTTGGCTGCCTTCTTTCGCTCCCTGGGACAAGTTTGGGCCTTGTTTGGCACTTCCCGCAATCTCCTCCCTGTTGGGCTCCAGAGAGTGGGTGTATAATCCTTCCTTCTGGCAGGATGAAGAATAGAAGTTGAAAACCAATCAACTAGCAGAAAGGTTGGTGGTTGGAACCCACCCAGAAGTGCCAAGAAAAGACAGGCTTCTGAAAGGTCACAACCTTGAAAACCCTATGGAGCCCAGTTCTGTTCTGCACACATGGGGCCACCTGAGTTGAAATCAGTTCTACAGCAAACAGCAACAGTCTTTGTGTGGCATGGTCATCCTGGTCCTCCACTCCTCCCTTCCTTAGAACTGGGCTATTGCCTCCTTCCTCCTGCAGGTCTCCCTGGTTGCACTGTTCTTGTTCCAAAAGCCTTCTGAACGAGGAGAGCCCCCTCTGTGGGCACCATACTCCTCAGATGGTACAGCCCCAGCTGTTCCTGATGACTTGACCTGATTCCTTAAGGCAGTGGGGAGGCCCCAGGGAGCCCACCCAGTGGGGTGGGCTGGGGTGGAAGAGTATAGCTATGGACAAGACAGTTTGTGTGATGCCCGCAAGCCCCCACAGTTGGTAATTTTGCTTTGAGCTCCTTCTGTCCCCCATTATAAATGGAAGGCACGTGGGGAGGTCTAGATTTGGAGAATGGCTCTCATTTCCCAGGAGGAGGCAGCAGTGTGGCTTGAGCTGTGACCCGGTCACAGTCACCCACTTCTTCCCTTCTCTTTTCTGGCCAAGCTGCCACCTGGGTGCTTGCTGGCTTGGTGCTGTTGCCAGATGCTGAAATCATTCTCTCCTAGTGACCCTGTCCAAGAGATACTGGAAATGTTTGTTCCTAGACAGGCTACCTGGAGGGAGAGGGTAGGCAGTAAGATGGTGGCAGGAAGGAAGATGGGACAGGGTTGAGTTTAATGCCCTACCTTCCCTTCCTGCCGCCCACCATGCTGCCCAGCTTACAGCACTCTGCAAGTCCTGCAGAACTTGGCACCTTAGGGCTGTGGAGGTGGGTGCTTCTGCTCAGGCCTCTTTCCCAATCTGCATGAGAATAATCCCTGCACCCTCAGGATGGTGGGGTCCAAATGTAGGGAATTTTAGGAGTGCTGTATGCATGTCAGAGGTGGGGGGGGGACGGTAGACCAGGGGTTGGTTCACTTTGCTATGGGTGGGTTCTCCTTGCTTCGCTACCCAGGCTGAGCGCAGGGGCCCATGCTCTTTTCTCTGCCCTGTCCTCACAGGTGCTGTCGAGTCGGAGGCAGTTCCTGAGGAAGCATGCTGCCCCCTTCTCTGCCTTCCTCACCGACAACTTTGACCGCCAGCACAGCTACCTGCGAATCTCCCTCACTGAGAAGTGCAACCTTAGATGTAAGTTGCCCTCTGGGCCCTTCCGTGTTTGTGCCACTTTGGGGCTAATGAGGCTTCATGGAAGCAGCTTCTGGAATCTCCCTGTGCCCAGGAATCCTCCTTAGTCCTTCTGATTCCTCTAACTTCTCTACCTGCTACCCGTGACCTGCCAGGCCAGTCAGAGTTCAGGGTTGAGGTCATAGTCAATGTTGAGTTTTACAATTCTAGAAGTTGGATTCTGCTTGAGATTAGTTTTGAGAACAGAATTGCTGTTGGGTTTTGGATCAGGATTGGGTCCTAGCTTTCTCTCTATTCAGGGGTCTTTCCTCCTTTCTTCCCCGTGCTGTTTCCTATAATTCTCAAAGTTCAGGACCTGCAGTTCTTAAAGTTCAGGATGTGGGGGTGAGCACTATAAACATGTAAAACACATAGCAGTGCCGATGGCCAACCCTGCCCGTTCTGCCAGTCTCATGTGCCAGTTGGCCAGGACTAGGGCTGATAAGAAGAATTCTTGTTCCATAATTCCACGGAGAGCATTCTAGGGCCTGTATCCACTGCTGCGGGGGACTCCCAGAGTTTTGATCTTCATTCGTGCCTGTCTGTCTTTCTGCCTTTCTCTTTCTTTTTTTTTTTTCACTGCAGTTTACAATTGGAAATTAATTAATTTCATAGTCTAATAAATGCATGTATATATGTGTGTATGTTCATAATAAATGTTTAGTGAAATAATACTTACCCTTACTGTAGTATAACACATTCAACTATAGTGTAGTACATTCAGTATTTACCTATTCAACTCTTTCTATTTTGTCTTCAAAAACCAATTCTGGATCCCGTTTACTAATTTGACTCCATGACCCTCACACAGATCTCAACCCAGTTGTTGATGAAACTGGAACCAGTGGTGCTGTAGTTGGCACCCCCCACCTGGTCCTGGCTCACCTAATTCACCCCATTCTGTTACCTCACCCTGAAAAAGTAATACTTCAGTTTTCCCACCTACAAATTGGGACAGATGATGGTCTGAAATAGACAGGGTGGATGTAAGAACACTGGTAGCTATAGATAGAGGAGTGTATCTTTATCAGGCCAGTGAGAACTTCCCGGCTTCTCTCACCTCATGGTACATACACACAACCCAAACCAAACCATACTCACTGCCATTGAGCTGATTTGACTCATAGCAACACCTATAGGGTTTCCACAGAAGGCTGGCAGTTCAAACCCACCAGCCACTCTTTGGAAGAAATGTTGGGCAATCAATCTTCCGTAGTGATACTGCCTCGGAAACCCAAGAAGGGGTTGTGCTATGAGTCGGGGCTGACTTGACGGCACGCAACAACAACAACATAGGGTTTCCGAGGCTGCAAATCTTTACAGAAGCAGACTGCCTCATCTTTCTTCCATGGAGTGGCTGATGGGTTCGACCCACCAGCCTTTTTTGGTTAGCAGCCAAATGCTTTAAACACTACACCTCCAGAATGCCTTCATGGCACACATAGAATGTGGTAATATTTGTATGCCAAAACCAGATGAATGAAGAAGGTTGAAGGATGCTGAGGGACTCAGCATCTTGGCATTCCCCTAACTCAGGCCAGGCTGTGCTCATAGCCTAGTTTATCCTTTTTAACCTATACCCTTAGCTCCTCACTGAGAGAGCTTAAGGCCAAATGAAGCAGGGGAGTTAAAATTTGAAAGATGAGAAAAGTTAGCCCCAGATAGAATCTGGCCTAGTACTAAGCACCACCCTGCTCAGACCCCTGGATTTGGCGAGATTTCTTCTTGTCAACAAGGGGCTCAAGAGAAGCTTTTGGCCTGATGGGGAATTTGGAGAGTGGGGGTAGAGCGGGCCTGACTGTGGTACCCATTTCCCACATCCACGACCCTCCAATGCCCTCAGGTCAATACTGCATGCCTGAGGAAGGAGTCCCACTGACCCCCAAGGCTGACCTACTGACCACTGAGGAGGTCCTGACCCTCGCACGTCTATTTGTCAGAGAAGGTGTGGACAAGATCCGGCTCACCGGGGGGGAGCCGCTCATCCGGCCCGACGTTGTGGACATTGTGGGTAAGTTTTGACCAAAGTTGTCACTTCTTCTCTCCACTCCTGCTTCATGCAGCTGGACGTGATGTTGTCAGGGATGAACCCAGCCCTTGCTGTCATTGGAGACTTGTCAGAACCTTGTCTGGAAGACTGTAGCTCCATTCTGCTACCTCACCCTGAAAAAGTAGTGCTTCAGTTTCCCCACCTATAAAACACGCAGATGATGATCTAAAATAGATAGGGTGGATGTGAGAACATGTGGCAGTCCCAGTAGTGCCCTTACCACCTTCACTGGTGCCATGCACCTTCATCTGCCTCTGGGATGCTTGAAATTGCCTTCTAGCTGGTCTTCCTGTACTCCTTTGACCTGATTAGAGTTTTTTCTCTATGCAGCAGCTGGAGTGAGCCTATTAAAAATATAAGTCAGAATGTCGTTGTTGTTGTTACGTGCCATGGAGTCGGACCCAACTCATAACGACCCCTCCTTGGGTTTCCGAGGCAGTATCGCTATGGAAGTAGATTGCCCAACCTTCCTTCCGAGGAGTGGCTGGTAGGTTTGAACCTCCAGCCTTCTGGTTAGCAGTCAAGGCGCTATGCTTAGGCGCTATGCTACCAGAGCTCCTGTTAAGTCAGAGTAGGTCATTGATACTGCCTCGGAAACCCAAGGAGGGGTCGCTATGAGTCGGGGCCGACTCGATGGCAAATAACAACAACAACAACAGGTCATCAATATTGGTACCTGTAGCTAATATTCATTTAGAGTTCTGTGTCCCTTATACATGTGGGCTCCTTTAATGCTGCAGTAATTCTCTGAGATAGGTACAATTATTTATTCCCATTTTGATGAAAAAATCAGATGTAGGCAGGTTCACTAACCCGTGCAAGGTCACAAACTTAGTAAGTGTCAGAGCCCAGTAGTTTGCCGTTACATTTAAACCAGAGTCCTTCCTTCCAGGGTCTGGAGGCCCATGTGATCTGGCTCCCGCCAACCCCTGTGATCTCTTGTCTGCCACTCTACCTCACTCCTTCTTCTCTGGTCTTACCACAGGGCCTTTGCACTTTCTGTTCCCTTTGCCTGAAGCACAGTGTTCACTAGGTGACCTCATTCAGGTCTCTGCTGAGAAGTGATTTCCTCAGATGAGCCCTTCCTTGACCACTTCATCCAAAATACATCCCCACATACACACCCCAGCCACTCTCTATCCCTGGGGTTGGCAAACTACAGCGAGCAGGTCAAATCTGGCTCACCATCTGCTTTTATATAGCCCACCAGGCAGAAATGGGTTTTACGTTTTCAGATAGCTGACAAAAGGTCAAAAGAAGAATAACATTTTGTGACATGTAAAAATTATATAAAATTTTAATTTCACTGTCTATAAGTGAAGTTTTATTGGAACACAGCCATATTCATTCATTTACAGATTGTCTATGGCTTCTTTTCTGCTACCATAGCAGAGCAGAATAGTTGCATCAGGGACCCTATGGCCAGCAAAGCAGAAAAGAGGAATAGTTCCATCAGAGAACCTATGGCTGGCAAAGCAGAAAAGATTTCCTCTTTGGCCTTTTACAGAAAAAATGTCCTGACCACTGCTCTATCCTCTCATCCTACCTTAGTTCTCTTCATAGGGTTTATCTCATCCTAACATGATATTATTTAGTTATGTGTTCACTTTTTTATTGTCTATCTCCTCCAGTAACCAGTGTGGAAACTCTAAGGGTTTCCTTCACAGTTCTTTTCCCAACACTTAGAACCATGCCTGACACATAGTTGCTGCTTGCTGGCATTTTTTAATTATGAATAATAATTTAGAGTTTTGTTCTGGAGTAGGACATACCCGCATTTGAATCTTGTCTGTGCCTCTTACTGGTATTGTACCTCCTGGCAATTTTTAAATTCTATTTTAAGCCTGGTGGCGTAGTGCCTAAGGCATTTGACTGCTAACCAGAGGGCTGGCGGTTCAAACCCACCAGCCACTCCTTGGAGGGAAGGTTGGGCAATCTACTTCCATAGCAATACTGCCTCAGAAACCCAGGGTCGCTGTGAGTTGGATCCAACTCCACGGCAGTGAGTTTAGTTATTTGGTATTCTAAGCCTTGGGACAATAATAGTATCTACTTCAAAGGGTCAACAGGGGGATGAAATGAGAATGCAATACCCAGCATGTGATGAGTGCTCTGTAAAGGGCAGCACCACAGATTCACTGCCATGTGCTGCTTCTGAGCCCCAGGGTCAGGCAGAGAGACCTTTGGTCACAGATGATGAAATAAGAGGAAAATAATGTTGTCTGTTCTTGACTGCTGCTTTCCCCACCCCAGCTGCTCCTGGCAGATTCTGCCCACACTCAGCTTTCTGCCTCCTTCACTCATTTTCTTGAGTGATTTCTATGTGCCTGGCACTGTGTTGGGGATACATAGATGAATGAGCCCCAGTCTCTGCTTTTCAGAACCCCCAGCCAGTTGGAGGAAGCAGCTGCAGGAACAGGATTGACCGGCCATCTGATAAAGACTGAGCCAGGGAGCCCAGGTGCTGTGGGAGCCCTGGGGAGGGGCCCAGGGCCCCCGATAGCCCTTTGTTCTCGCCTTCCCAGTGGCCAGTTCTCTCCACCCCCCAGTAGTCATTTGCCCTGTGATGCTGCCATCACTCCTGTGCTACAGGGGCTGGCCCATGCAGCTGACCCCACCCCCCCCTTTCAGGAAGCTCCTTAGGGCTGAAAGGCAGGCTGGTTTCCAGGAAGTTCTGAACCTGCTGAGCCTGGCTGGCTGCCACACCCAGCCTCTCATTCAGGCCACTTTCTTTCCCTGCAACCCTCTGGCACAGGTTCCTCCTTAAGTCTCTGAGCTCTGTGCCAAGGCTTGCTTGTGGGAGAGCAGATGGGGTGAGAATTACTCACTGGCCAGAGAGAGACAGGATGACTAAGCACAGATGCAAGGATTCAGAGCCTCCACAGAAGCCTCCTTGGTAGAAAGAGTGGTAGCCCTATTTCCAGCCTTCTACTCCATAGCCTCATGAACTTAGGGCCCCCATGAACTTCTCTTCCCTGAGCCTCTGTCTCCTCATCTGTGGACTAGCCCCTTAAGGGCCTTTTCTGTTGTGATACTCTATAATTTTTGGTCCCGGCCGATAGCACGGATGGGAAAAGGCTGATGGCCACTAGATGCTGGATAGGACTTGAACACGGTACAGTGACCTGCTTCTGAGGATTCACTTCTTGCCTCCCAAGAGTGTGGGCTCATGGGGGATAATGCACTAAAAAGAATGGCGACTACCTTACCTGCAATTCTGGTGGTGAAATGCCTGCTAACACCTTGACATCTCTCAGGCTACCTCCTGATAATAAGGTACTTATTCTGAGCAAAACAGCCTTGAAGGGCAGGGTAAAAGGATGCTAGTGGGGTTGTGGGGAGCGGCTGGAGTGAAGGGTGGGGAGAGAAATTAAGAACTAGGATGTTCACAAATACCATTCCAGATGAGAGTTTTGAGGGGACCGCCATCCAAAGGGCAGAGTGAAAGGATTGCCATGTTTACTTGAAGTCCTTGCCTGCAGCTCTGTCAGTTTGGGCTGGTTCCACAGAACTCCCCGCAGGAAGGACTCAGGCTCTCCTGCCTCTTGCTGCATTATCTGTGATCCTCTCTGCCAACCTTTCGTCTCTCCAGCACTTCTGCAACTGTTCCCTCTTAGCTTCTATGCTGGGTTTTTGACAGTGGCTGAAATCTCTCGAGGACTCAAATTCCCACAGGACAGCCCCTCCTCTATGATGACTTCATTAGGCTCTTAATTTCCTCTCTCTGTTCCTTTGGCCGCAGGCATGGTATTGAGTTCCCAGTGTTGCTAGTCTGAGAGTTGCAATTTCAGTTGTTGGGTCCCTTAATCGTGCTAACACCTTTGTAAATAGATCTTTCATTAAATTCTCTTATTTTAAGCATCTGAGGTGATTTCTGTTTTATGCTAGGATCTTGACAGTGTCATACTTTAAATTACATTTTCTAATTTGTTGTTCTTGGTATGTTCATCTCCTCAGTCTGGCTGCTAACTCTTCTATTAATGATGTATATAATATGTCCGTTTAGATGCTTTTGAAATTTTTATGCTAACAACCATATCATCTGCAACCAAAGACTATTTTTTTCTTTCCTATCTATGGGTGGTGGTTGTTGTTATGTGCCGTCGAGTCGGCCCCGACTCATAGTGACCCCTCCTTGGGTTTCCGAGGCAGTATCACTACGGAAGTAGGATTGCCTAACCTTCCTTCTGAGGAGTGGCTGGTGGGTTTGAACCGCCAGCCTTCTGGTTAGCAGTCAAGTGCTTTTAGCCACTATGCTACCAGAGCTCCTTCTTATTTTCTTTTCTTGTTTTATTACAATATCTAGAGCCTCAAGTACAATGTTCAATAGTAGAAATAATAGGAGAATGCTTCTAATGCTTCTTCATTTAGAATAATGTTTCCTGTAAGTTTTTTTTCACAAATAAATTTTGTCAGGTTCATGAGATTCTTTTCTTAGTTTATAAAGTGTTTTCTTCTTTTAATTGCATGCTTTCTTTTACCTATATTAGGATCCTCTGTGATTTTTTTTCTTCCTTCTTCTATTATTTTGAATGACATTTATAGATTTTCTTATTATCTAAGTACAGCCTGATCATGGTATATTATGTTTTTATCCACTCTTGGCTTCAAATATTTTATTTAGGTTTTTGCATTAGTATTCATTAACGAAATGGGCCTTTAGTTTTTCCTTTCTAATATCAGCGTTAGCTGGTTTCGGAATCAAGTCTAAAAGGACAAATTAGGTAGTATTCTCTTTTATTCTGTTACCCGCAAGAGTTTGTACAAATCTATTACGATTACTTCTTTGGAAATTTGGTAAATCTCATTTATAAAATTATCCTAGGTCTTTTCTTTGCAGAGAGATTTTTAAACTACTGCTTTAACTTCTTTAATAGTAATTATAATATTCAAGTTTTATACTTTATTTAGAGTCAATTTTAGGAGTTTTTTTTTTTTAGAAATTTTTCAGTATTCTAACT